TTAGAATCTGGTACCTATTACTTAGGCCACTCGGCACGTTGCTCGACTGACTTTAACTACCCTCATTATGCAACGATTCCATGGAATACTATTTACCGCTCCGATAAGTAAGTTGCCGTGAAATTCGACCGTGATTCAAGTACCAAAGGGGCTATGAAACGCACTTGAAATTAGATTCCAGTTGATATTCAAAATTTCCCCTCCGTTTATTTGGAAGATAAGAATTCGCGATAATGACCCCTCATTATATACTATATTTGAAAGTCCGCCTGCTAGAGTTTCTTATGCGTTCTCCTCATTTTGTTTCTTTAATAGATATGTGTTTTTTATTTAGACAATCAATAAATTCTTTTAAAAGTTATAATCATCTTACAATTACGATTCATAAATAGTGGTTATTTAATTTCTAATGCAACAATACATTTCGTGATTTTGTGGTAAATATCGTTTAGAAGAAAGAAGTAACTATTAGCATTTACTACATATACTGTCATAATAATAATAATTTATTTTCATCGAATGTTTACAATACCACTTATGTAATAGTTTCAAAATATAACAGTTGAATTTGTACTAGTTTTTGAATATCTCAGAATCATCTGAATTATCTCATGGGAACCTGTATTAGAATAGAATAAAATATAATATACATATGTTGCAATGCCACAACACACAGATGATTTCAAGTGTTCGCTTGTCTATGAAATAAAGATACCATTGATTTTGATTTCTCTAGCCCTACCGTATCTACGTAGATGTACCTGAAATAGTACAACAAGTGCATAAAACGCGTCATTTTACCAGAGACGAGTATATGCACCCAAGCCGCAGGCGAGTGTGGATACTTAAGAGGGAGCAGAGGAAAAATTCCTAATCTTCGATTTGATTTTAGAGGGGTATATCCACTTTAAAGTTAAAAATAAAATATTGTATGAGTAACTACACAATATATTCAAGCATAGACATTAATCAGAAACATAAAACAATAAAGTTTCTTCGATAGATAAAATACACGAAATGACCTCCAATTTTCACATTTTTTCGATTTATCCTCGAAATGCTACAGGTTATTAGGACAAAAATTAGATAATTAATTATATTTATGCATGATCGACAACTGTCACTACGGATTTTTTTTTAATCCTTTTAGTTTTAGAGTTATTCCGCTAAAACGAATTTGGTACTTGTAATGCGCAAAATTCAACATCTCCTGTCGCATGTCACGCGAACTTCAGGCATATATTTGTTGCACAAATTTGGGCGGAGCCAACGTTAAAACTTTTTTGGCATGCTCCCTCTTAAGTCGAAGATAAAATGGGTTTTATGAACGAGTTATACACTCTGCTTTTCACTTCGATTGCGAGGAAATTAAAGCGCAATATTAAAAATAAAAGATTATTTAATTAAAATTGAATGTAAAATTACAACAAGCCCGCCAATGTACTACTTTTTTTTTCTACACGTAACTCAGGTCGGACTACGTAATGCTCAGTTATATTTTATAAGCTTTTATTTTTTATGCATTTCTATTTCTTATAACTTATTACAATTACTATTGCCTGCTTTTTTAATTTTGTAATATAACACGGATTAAAAAAAATAAAAATATAACTTTTTATAAAGTTCTAGTATGCGTGGCTGTTGGCGCAGGTGTCATTGCCTCGGTATTGAACGACGGTTTTTATTTTATGTACTAGAGCATAAAATTCTATTTTATGCAGCCTACACCCAGCATAAATACGTACTTTAAGAGCATGAGAAGTGAAAAGGTATTTTTACCTTAATGTTATAGAAATGCACTGTGGAACTGTAAGTGATGAACCCGACACGCGTCCAACTTTTGCCTGTCTGCTCGTCCTTTGGCATCGCCTGGAAAAGAACAATAAATTACATAAATATTGTCAAAATAAATAAAAAACATACAAAATACTCCACTAGTTTATTATTATTAAACCAACATCAATAGTTGTATCAACAACGGTATTTTCACAAAAAATATATGAGTAACATCATGATCGCTGCCTTATGGGGCAGTTTTAGATATTTGGGACAAATAAGTTGTCATGGAAGTGAATAAAGTTTTTATCTATCTATGATATTCAATACATATTGCAATTAATATAGCGACATCTCTCGTCAGCCAGTCTGGTAGTTGCAAAGTTATCTGACTGAGTAACTTTCATAAAGTATGTCATGGTGGCGCTACGACAAAAAAAACCGTTTTAACACCGTGCTATACTTAGTTTCAATCCATTTTAAACAAAAAGTAAACAAACAAGCTACTAACACCACCATAGTAGGTTTAGTGATGGTCAATTGTAATGTCAATTACAAATCAATTAATTCAATGAATCGATTTGTTTAACTGAGTCATAGTAACGGTTTGCCTTACATTATAAAAGCATATTCAAAATCCTTCTTCAAATCCGTACATTGAGATAGACGTTCGATTACGATTGAAAGTTTCGATTTACTAATCGATTACAAAAACTTTAATTGAATGAACCGAATGTTTTTTTTTCGTACAGCACTATGAAACCATAGACAAGTCATAGTTGTATAGTTGAAAAATAAACTCACTTTTGGACTAACATTTTTCAAATACGATTTTACGATGCTATTCATATAAATATTGTTGGAAAAAGTTATGAGATATCTAGTCTTCAGAGTACGTGAAAGTGGTACTTATTTGATTTATTGAGTGATTGCTTCAGAATTTTAACCAAACAGTTTTGTTCAAAATGGACAGACTATAGTTTGTATGAACTCGGGGCCCGTCCCGGCGCCGGCCCGGACACCGGATACAACATATACGCAACGATATTGCATGACGTGTGTGGTTAGTCCTTTAAAAGCAAATCCAAAGATCTGCAGCAAGCAGATAGAGAAATTCTCTGCTGTTTTGATCTTTAGCTGTTGTTTTTATTTTTTATGATACAAAGTGACGGGACGAGCAAGTCTTGGGACTGTTGGTAAGCGACACGCCTGTCCATAACAGTTGCAGTGCCACTCAGAGCTTTAAAAAGCAGCAAAGATCTGGGGTGCACTGCCACTGCGCCCGTCACGCGGAGACATAAGTCGACAAGTCCTATGTGCAGTTGGTAAGAGCGGTAGCCACGGTCAAGCAACAGATGCTAGTTCGAGTCCAGTCTGATCGAAGGAATTTTCCTTTATATTTGTTCGATGTTTGTGTCAATAAATACGTTCGATATGATATTGTTTAATAATCGTTTTGATTTGTAAAAAAGTCTCTGAGATAATGGTCCATTTATACTCCGTCCAACCATTGCAATACTTCCTGGACTTTTATTTTTTAATTTTAGTGAAGCGACATGCTCTTTAGCTCCGATATTTATCGAGCCAACAGATTATGTAACGAAGATTATTCGAGTTGACAAATTTTGGTACCTGTCTAATAAATTATAATGAAATTAAATAAATTAGAAACAATTATACTAATTTCTTATTGTTTATTATAATCAATCGTTGGATTCTTCTCCATATGCACGGGAATCATCACTAACATAAATTATTAATTCTTGAGTACACAAATTGTGAAAAGCAACATCGCGATCCTAATCAGACAATGTCTTCTTTTTTGAACCCGCTCATTTTCACAATTTAAACTTCTTCATAAATAAAATCGATTGTAATAAAAAAATAGAATCGGAAACGCATTAGGACATCACTAATTGATTAGAATTCGTAAGAAGTAGTAGTAGAAGGGCGTAAGCGACATTTCGAAAAATTTTAATGGGTGACCAGATGAGTAAGTATAAAAAGGGAAAACGTACATACCTCTATGATATCCATGATATTGTCACAGACTGTCTGCACCAATCCCATTTTGTTGGCATTGTATGACACGTCTATGAGGAACACAATCGCCGGGGGATTAGGCAGCGTGTTGTTCTAGAAAGAAAAAATAACCTAAATAGCACTTTATATGATAGAAATAGTAAATACATGAACTTACATTTAACAGAGCTTACTTCTCCTCGAAGTCTTTTTAATCGATTATGTGTTAAAAAATGTTATTAATATAGCCTGCAAGAGGTTTTTAAGGAATAATGTATAGAATATAAATTAGATAATAATAATAGAATACGAAAATGTCATGTTCGTTTTATGTTTACTTTTAATTTGTAATAGTTTTGATTGCGGCTGGGTCATTTTTGTTACTATTTAAATTGTAATATGTATATCTACTCAGTTATAGTCAGTCTTTTTCGAAGACAGAGTAAAATGACGTTTGAAGGGTTGCCAGTTTTCACACAATTTTAAATAGTTATGTAGTTGTTATCGATAGATTGTGAAGGAAGATAACATTTTGCCAAAAAATGACTGTATTGTGAATGTTACGACGTTTTAACAATTACTAATTGCGTTACTGCCTTCTTTATTCTTATTTTGAAAGTTGGCCTACTAGCATCGTGGCCAATTTCTATTCATATACATTTGAACAAGAATAGCCGGATTTAATAATGCCATGGACACACGTAGACAACCACAATTTACACCCAAACTCACAAGATAAATAAATGTGGGCCATACAAATATTTCTCTGCGTGGCAGTCGGACATGGTAACCGTTCGGTCACTGAGGCAATTATTTGATTATCGATATTGAATTAAAATGGAAAGCTTTAAAATAATGTCTTCTCTTTGTATTTTTCATAAACATAGTTCTAAATACAATGTATGTATGTAAGAACTTACAAAAATTGACAATCCAATTGAACAATAAAAATGAAAGCTCAGTAATTGGATGAATAATGTCGAGGACGATTCAAATAAAACAAGTTCTTAATAGATTCAGGCGTTAGTTTGCGGAAGTCCATGTTAATAAAAATGGAATTTAATTAATTTGCTACTACTCGAACCCAGTGAAGGTTAAAACGTGCAAAATGACAGGTCCAATTTCGCTAAACATTTATTAGAAACAAATAATATTTTACCAGATTCCCATTCGTATGAAACCTTACATTTTTGCGAAAAAGGACTATATCTGTGTTGTTTTAGAACAGATGGAAATAATTAGGTACAACAACAGGTGTTATATAATAAATGAATTTTGCATCACCTTTATTACGCGTATATTCGGGTTTCAACAATAGTAGCATTGGGGGTAGCGGGGTATAAATATACCAATCGTTCTGAACAAGCTCATTATTCGGACGATCGTCGAGCAATCAACGTTCATGAGGATGCCTTGTAGAGAGGTGAAACGTGATTTCCCCCCGTAAAAAAAAAAGGTATAACACGTGTCGGGTATATTTGGTGCTGGTGTTTGTGACTGTAGTTGCGCTTGTGTTATTTATTTTATTAATTTTATGCAAAGGGAGGGTGGGTAAATTAACTGCATGAAAAAAATATTCAACACAAGCGCAAAATAGTATGCACGATTTAACCATCACTGGGTTCGCGGAGTAGCAAAATAATTAACTTCCATATTTTTCTTTTTTTGAAACAAGTTCGGCTGTTTGTTCCATAAGCGTGAACAATATTCAGTCGATAGTCGATAGAATATTTATCGACTATAGTCGTCACCAAATAAGAGGCCAAATTTGACACCTGTCATCGTGACGCGAATAGGGATGTGTAATGTAAATCATATTATATGATTTTCACGAGAAATTGATTCAAAATTTTAAGTGTTTGTGATTGTTTACATTATTTTTCGGTTCGGGCCTAAAAGGCCAAATCGTGCAATTCAGTTAAAAGCAATTCATTTACAGAATTCCTTGCAATTCCGTAGCAATTCCTCTTATTTTCGTAAAATTGTCCCACATTTTATAATATTCATAAATGGTTTGTTACGAGAATTTAGTGTAAGTATGTTAATTAATAAAACAACTACATAAGTCAATATTTTTTCCGAGAAATCCAAGTGACTCGGTGAAATTCGGCTGTTAATTGGTTACAACACTATTATTTAAGAAAAAATAGCTTAAGAACGTAACTGTTTCCAAGACGTTTCGGAGTAACTCAAAATTGCATTTTATTTTGGAATTCGTGCGAAAACAGTACTTCAAATATGTTTTGTTATATTACATATTGTTTCAATATAATTTACGTTTTTTAAAAAAAAACTCAATTATGCTAATAATTGTTTGTTTATTGTTTCGTTGATCGCATTCAAAGTTACATGCTATCGCGTCTTTAGCTGTTAAATTTGGCCTCTTATTTGGTGACGACTATACAATCACTAGCTGCTCGCAAGCGGGCAACGCTTTTGCGCAATGAACCGTCATTTTACTCCGTCTTCAAAAAGACAGCTATAGGCGGTACGCCTGTACTAAGCAACTGCTTACATGTACGTGTGCTTGTATGTATTTGTAATGAGTGTTTTTGCTTTGTTGCGAATGTGAACCGAGGACGGCCTCGGGCGACACTCACCCTGCAGTACTCCTTGGTGGCGACGATCTCATACGCGCCGAGAGCCATCTCGGCGGGCAGGCGCCCGTACTGCTGCATGCTGTTCACGTACTGCGTGTACTCCATCGGCACTGCGAACGCGCAAGGCGCGTAAAAAGGGATTTTAAATATATTATATTACGAAATACTTAAAATTTCTCATAGCACTACGGCTAAAAAGTCGTTGAAAAATCAAAACACATAGGAAATGAAACTGTTTTTCCGGATTTAAATCGCGTATATTTGTTTTTTCAAACAAACCGACGTTTCGGTCCCATGGTCTTTACAGGTCCCATGGTCACGGTTGAATGGGACCTGTAAAGGGCCCGAAACGTCAATTTGTTTGAAAAAACAAATATACGCGATTTAAATCCGGAAAACAGTTTCATTTCCTATGTGTAACAATCGCGAAAACCTAAGAACTCGATAAATCAAAACACGACAACAAACAGAGTGAGGTCCGCTAGTTCGTTCCGTGGCTTAGTTGGTATAGCGTCTGGCACGGTATGCTTGAAGACGTCGGTTCGAATCCGACCGGATCGAAGGATTTTTTCTGAGTGTTCGATCTTTGTATTAATCATTATAACAAACTAGTGGAGTAATTTCACATAAAAAATAATTGAATAAAAATTTAAATACAATGAATAGCGACATCTCTTGCCAGAGCTGGTAGCTGTAAAGGTATCTAACTGGGTGATGAAATACTTAAGATTTCTCAAGGATATTAAATAACTGTAATTTCATTTCAAAAAAAACGACCTCAAACCGAATTCATCCCCTAGTTTGCCACCCTTAGAGACGGAACATTTTCCTTAAATTTAAATGGGACCAATGGAAATCGGTTCACAAACGCCGGAGTAATCACGTAGCATACATATAAAAAAAATACAGTCGCATTGAGAACCTCCCCTTTTTTGAGGTCGGTTAAAAAACTCTTTATTTACAAAATTTTGAAATATCTCAAAAAATATACTGTGTAAAGATTAATATAATTTTTGAAAGTATTAAACTCCTCGGACTTTTTCTACTCAATACAGCCATAGTAGTGTAATAAGACGAAAAAAGGCTCGAGGGTTTTATTTAGGGTATTATAGCCAAGTTAGCCTGCATGCAATCATATTATTTACGTGCAAGTATGATGAAAAAGGTTGTAACTTCTTTAACAACACTCACCTTCAGTAGTAGCTTTACAAAAGGCGCACTTGAAATGTCTACCGGCGTCAATGAACTTCATGTTCGGACACATGTAAGCTTTGCAGCGGCAGCAGCGCACCGGGCCCATTGCGGGGGACCCCGTGAGGGCCGCGAAGTCCAGAACGGGGGGCTCCAATTCTGTGCCAACCGTCTCTGCCATTGGGGCTATCTGGAATTATTAAAGATATCATCATCAAACCACTGTAATTCCGCTATGCTGGAGACATCACATGTTCTAAAATGGTTGGTGCGTATTATTTTTAGTTTACAATCAGCCATCGCGCAGTGTGCTCATTTCACAGCTACATACATATATTAGTTGTAATAATGATAACGCACAAACTCAACAAAGCCACGCAAGAACCCTGTGTCGCGGGTGCCATGGACACACATATAGACAACCACAAATTACACCCAAACTCAAAGAAATAAATGTAGGCCATACAAATATTTCTCCCGGCCCGGGAATTAGAATCAGAATCATTTATTGTTTGAACTGGTAAAAAAGATGTTACATGTAGTTTGAGTACAACAGTTCATACCCATGTTGGGTGTACAATGTTTTATAATTACAATTAGTCATTAAGCTCAATCGATGAAAATATAATAGAATTAAAAATGTCAACAAGCTAAACACAGACTTAAAAAAATTAAATGTATCACATAACAGTCAACAAATTAAACATATAAGTCAAAATAAAATAATTAAATTCATTACATAGCTATCAATGTCAACAACTTAAACACAAATTTTAAAATAAAGTTTTTTTTATCTGATTTACAACATAACAATGTTTTTTTTTTTTTTGTCGCTTAAATAGTCAGATATTGTGTAGTACGCCTTCATAATTAATAGCTCCTAAGTTTAAAATTAAAATCTGCAGTTTTTACCGTGTCCCTTAATTCTTCTGGTAGTTTGTTAAATATTTTTACAGTCATAACTAGTGTGCTTGATGAGTGAAGTTTGAGTCGAGATGTAGGTAACAACTGTGCATTTTTATTTCGTCGAACATATCTTGGATTATTATCTATCCGCTTAATAAAAAAATCCGGGTGTTTCCTAATAAACTTACAAATTTCCAAGATGTAGATACACGGTACAGTGAGCATCTTATGCTTTTTGAAGTGAGGTTTGCAAGAATCTGTGTTTTTAATATTGGTCAAGATCCTTATCAGTTTTTTCTGTAGGATAAACAGACTGGGAGCGTCGGTACTGTTTCCCCACATGATAACACCGTAACTATGCCACGCATATGCGTAAGCGTAGTACGTTACTAGAGCTGTTTGCAAGTCGATAGTCTTTTTAATTTCAAGAAATGCATATATGAATCTCGAAAGTTTAGACTGTAGTTTGAGTATATGTGCTTTCCAGTTGATATTTGTATCTATTGCTATACCTAATAGAGTAAACTCTGAAGCGACTTCAAGTTTAATGCCATTATAATCGAATTTATTGCAACTGGTTTTTTCTGATACATTTGGAAGGTCATTATTAACGTTTTTTAAAAATTTATTTCAAGATTGTGATCATTCATCCAATTTATTGTTTTTTCCATTATCAGACTAAGTTTTTCATTTAAATGATTATTGTTTTGGCATGCAGTAAGTATAGAAATATCATCGGCGAGTAATATAGAAGGCTCTTCTATTATTTTTGGCAGGTCGTCAATGTAGATCAGAAACAACAAACATCCCACTACACTGCGGGATCGACGCGTTTGTAGTTTTGCTATCAGGCCGAACTATTTTAATTTATTTAGTATTGTGGTCAAAGTATTCGAATTCCACATATTGTTATCTATTTTTTAAATAAGATGCGAACCAGTTGTGAGCTACTCCACGGATACCTATCTCATATAATTTTTTTAGTAAAATATCGAATTGGACTTAGTCATACGCTTTCGACATGTCCAATAATATTCCAACTGGGTATTGCCTATTATCTATTATGTTAACTACTTGTTGCATGTATTTATAAATTGCCAAGATAATTGATCGATTCTTGCGAAAGCCATTTTGGCTTTCATTAAAGATTTTATATTTTTCGCAAAAATTATATATTCGGTTACACATAGCTTTCTCGATTATTTTCGAAGCGGTAGGCAAGAGGTCTATCGGCCGATAATTGTTCGGGTTACATTTTTCCTGCTTCTTGTATATGGATTTAATTAGCGATTTTTTTAATAGTTCTGGGAAAATTCCTTCTGTAAAAGATTGGTTTATAAAGATTGTTAATGGCCAAGTAAATTCTAGTGCACATTCTTTTAATAATTTGGGAGGAATCTCATCTATCCCGTGACTATTTTTATTTTTTAAATGATTAATGATTTTATACACTTCGCATGTATCAACGGGTCTGAGGTAGAAGGTGTTGTCAGTGGGATAAAGCACTGGGCGCCCAGTAGCTATTAGATTCCGTATTTCGCCAATTGAAGAGAAAAAGATGTTGAAGCAGTTGACCACGGTCTTTGGTTCAGAAAACGTTGTGTTATTTATTTTCAAAGTTAAATTACATTTGTCTTTTTTACATTTTTTATTGGCTCTTTCCTTTATGATGGACCACATTGTTTTAACCTTATTTGACGATTTTTTAATTCTGTTTATGTATTGTAATTTTTTAGGTGTAAAAATAGTTTTTTTAAGTAATTTCTTGTAATTATCATAGTATCAATGAAGATCTTTGTGTTTTGATTTTAATGTCAAAATTTTTAATAATCTTTTATTTTTGCATGAAGTTTTGATTCCTGTTGTAAGCCAATGTTTGTTATTATTATTTTTAAATTTTATTTTACGTTTTGGTTTATTTTTGTTAAGAATATCGTGTATAGTATCATGAAACATTAAATAGTTTTGGTTAATATCATTATTAGATTTTATTATTTCCTGCCAGTTTATCAATTTTAGTCGAGATCTAAATTTTTCAATGTTAGTCTTATTGAACAATCGTTTTTCTGTATACCAAGTTGATTGTTTGCTTTGAACTACTGATTTTATTTGGATTATTGTCGCTGCGTGGTCAGAGAAACCTAACTCTTGTACTGATGTTTTAACTTGATTTATATTAACATTTGTGAATATCAAATCTAGACACGTTGATGAAGTTAATGTGTTGCGAGTAAGGGGTTGTGTGAAATTATACTCTTAACATGAAATTCAAAAAAGTGACTGCTTTAGGATTGTTTGATAATATATCAATGTTATAGTCACCTCCAGCTATTATATTACATGTAGAATAATAAGAATTGACATATATTAAGAGCTTTTTCAATTGGCTCTAAAAAATTTCTTCCGAATTTCTATTCCAGTACATGGATATTAACAATGTGTTTTCTTTAGTTAATTTAACTGCTCACATTTCGAGTGAAAATTCTACAGATAATTCATTAATATTTTCTTGTCTTCCGTATAATGAATATGGTCACGGAGTAGAATGCATACGCCACCGCCACCTCGCGTAGCTCTACAATGTAATGCTGCTACTATAAATCCGGTGAATTCGATTAATTCTAATTTTTCCTTTGTCAACCATGAGTCAGAGATGCATGTCGCTTGAATTGTTTGATTCTCGCGAACAAATGCCTCCAAAATATATTGTTTATTATAAACGCTTTGAAAATTTTGAAACAAAGCTCTAAAGTGACTACTATGAGAGACGAAAAAAATTCGTGTCTTGAGAGTTGTTACTTATAAATGATTTTGTTGTATGATTTTGTAAATTAGTAAGCAGAACATCATTTACCAACAGATTTAAATTACTGAACATTTGACGGAGGCCTCTATTATTTAAATAACCCTTATAAACGGTAAACATATCTTTATCGTAGGTAAGAATAGTAAGTTGTTGAAAGCATCCACACGGTGATTAATTAATAGACTCTCGTATAAACCGTGTCTAAAGGTACGCAAACAAATGAATACATTAGTATGTTGTATTTTTAGCAGCTCTGTTCTTAGGATAGTAAGTACATTTTTATAGTCCATACTTGCTTCGAAATCTTTTTCACCTATCATTATAATACATGAGTCATATGATGTATAATTTTGCATTTTATCTTCTAAATTTACCAGGAGTTGTCGCAGTCCTA